CCTGTGGGTCCCTGGATCGGTTCTTCCCTTTCAACCTCAGTTTCCCCAGCTATAAAATGGAGTAATAACAAAACCTGCCATAAGGGATTCTTGGCAGGATCCAAGCCAACGCGGCAGATACTTCATCAGCCTCGGGTCTCTTCTATCTCCCTTGGCTGGACCTGGCTCTGCCTCTTGCCTCTGACTGAACATACCATGAGAGCTGAGGCTGGGGCCGTAAGAGGAAGCAGTGAATGGGGCTTGTCTGACTGTTTCTTCCCTCTTCAGAATCCTCATGGGTAAAAGGTAAACTCTAGAACTGGTACCTGAGACCACTGGAGGCCTGATGCTGGCTTGGCAAACTCCTATTCACCCTTCAAAGCCTATCTCAAATGCCCTCTCCTCCAGAAAGCCTTCCTTGGGTCTTCCTCTGGGTTTTTGAAGCCCCTAGCTCTCCCACTGGACTGATCCTAACCCTGAGGCTGGGATGCCTATGCCCAGCTCTTCCTCCACTCTTGGGCTGGGGCCACGTGAGAATCAGGCATGGAGTCGGGTTTATGCCTAATCAATCATGTCTGTATACATAGGTCTGCGTGTTGATGTCACATGGGTGCCCATCTGTGTGTATGCGTGTGTATATGTGTCCCTGCGCTGGACCCCAGACTGGGCAGCCCGGCCAGTTCCCCTAGACCATCTGAGACACAGGGTCTTTTCCAGGCTGGGGTCGTGAGCTGAGCCAGGCCCTTTACAAGGGGGCCGCCATCAGACTAGGACACCTTCCTCTCCCAACCCTCCTCCAGGAAGAGCTGGGATGTGAGCAGCCGGCTTCTGCCTCTCCCACGCTGGCGCCATGCCCTGGAGTCCGCCATTAAAGCTCCAGCTCCGTTGGGGGCCCAGAGCAGAGCTGACTGCCAGGTGCCCCCCTTGAGCAGCCCTGCCAGAAAACCTTCGAGGACATACCTGAGGTTTGGCAGCACTACGTGGGCTGGCCCCAGGCCGCATCAGCAGGAAGCCATTCAGGACTTCCCTGGAAAAGCAGCTGGGACCCTGAGCCCGTCTGTGTTCCCCAAACGCCATCCCATCTTGGGGCCCCAGGAGGGTGGGAGGTGCTGTGTGCATCTAACTGTGGCAGCAGCAGAGTGTGTCTGGAGGAGTGAATGGCGGCACCTGACTTGGACCACCCAGCATCTGCAAGTCGATTGTGTGCCCCGTGTGTCTAGAACGCAGGGAGCGAACACACTGCCACGTGACCCTGTGGTGAGCGCTCCGTCCAGCATGCATGCTTTGTGCTCCCCGGGGCAACGGGGTGAAGGCAGAGCAGAGTGGTGACTGTGGAGACATGAGGATGGGGTGTGACCAGGAGCACAGGGCAGGTCTGGGTCTGTGTGGCCAGGGTGGGGCAGTGCCTGCTTCTCCTCAGTGTCTGGGGTCAGAGCCTCCTCCAGTCTCCTCCCTTGAGAAATAGGCTGTAATGGCCTCTTTTCCTCCAGGGGTCTGCTCAGCTCCCCCAGCCCCCTAGTTCCTGCCCTAGGAGGGGTCAAGCAGCAGCCTGACCACTCTCACCTGGACTGCTCTTCGGCTGCTGGCCCCCTGCCTTTGTTTCCACTATTAAAGCTCACATTCCCCCCCATCCCATTCGAAGCCAGGTCTCCCCGCCAGGCCGGCTCCAGGTTTGGGGGTCTGAAACTGGGTCATACCCAACCCAGAGGGATGATGAGAGAGACAGACAGGGCTGGGGAAGTGGTGGGTGGCCACGCCAGGTCCACGAGGCCCCGATGGAGGAGCCAGGGCTGTTCAACCAGCACCGGAGGTGCATGGGGAGCAAAGGCTAGCCCACAGGATTTGGACCCACAGGGGCTGCCAGGAAGGAAGGGGCAGACCCCAGTTCCAGAAGAGAAACCCTTCCCAACAGGCAGAACCCCACACAGCTCCAGGGGGGTCTTTATTACCAGAAGTTGTGTAACCCTCCCCCACTCCAGTACCTCTGTGGCTCACTATTGCCCTCCAAAGAGAACTCGGCCTTCTCACTCAGCATTCATGGACCTGCTCACCACACTGTGTGTCTCTCTGCTACTGTTCTTCGTGCTCTCTTAAGCCTTTCCTGCTGCTGAAACTCCTTCATGCCTTGCCCACCCAGCAAACTCCTATACATCCTTCAAGACCTGGAGCCTATATCCCTGACTTCAGAAAACCTTCTCTCTGACCCTGCACATCCCCCATTTGCCATGTGAATCTGGGCAAGTCACTTCAGTTGAAATGAAACGGTCAGGGGATTCCTCCTAAAAGCATATCCTGGAGTCTCGACAGATATAAACACCCTTAGAGTGAACAAGGCAGTGGGGTCGGACTCATATCTAGTCAGCGCTCACTGTGTGCTTGATTTTATCGTCTTCTTCCTGGATTCTGCGGTTTTAAGACTCTTGTTCTAAACATTTTACAGTTCCAAGATTTTTCTTCCCTTGTGGTGCTAGGAATTTTAAGAACCCCTGGTTCTAAAATTACGAAAAGTCTAAAATACCGTGGGCGGGGGAGAGGCCTCCTGTGCCCTGGTCTAACCCCAGGTCGGCTGGAGCCAGGGTCTCTAGGGGGTGCTATACACCCCCAATTCCTCCCCGCACCGAGGGGGTGAGGGCTGGCAGCCCCAGTTGGGTTAGGAGGGAATGGATTTACCAGGAGGCGGACAGGCCCTTGTTCCAGGAGGGGGTGGGTCCTGGCTGGGATGGGGAACAGAGCAGATGAGAGGCGAACAGGCTGGAGGCTCTTGGCTCAGGGTGATGGCTCCCTTCTCTTGCAGCCTCAGTTTCCTCATCTGGATATTGGGGCCAAACACTGCCCTCTTGGAGAGTCACCAGCAGGCGCCGGGGAAGGGGTCAGGTTGGCAACTCTGGGCCCTGTGCCAAGACTGGCTTGGGCTGCACGTCTGCCTGAAAGCCCTCCTAGGCCTACTTCTTTTGGGGGGCCTGTCTCACTCCTGGCCCAGCTATGGCAAAGGGGGCAGGGGACTCAGGAAGGAGCCCACCCACCAGGACCCACCGTTAGGGAAGGGAGACCAGGGCCAGGCCTACTACCCTCCCCAAACCTGGCTGCTCTCGCCTGGCAGCAGCCACAGTGCCAACACTTTCTCAATGAAAGGTATTTGGCCGTGGAGCCTGACACCTCATCACCCTCGGCTTGGGAACCCCTGCCAGCCTGGACCCCACCCCCACTCTGCTGCTCAGCAGGACCCGCCAGGCAGTCCTGAGCTGAGTTCTGGGGGCAGACAGGCCCAGTCCTTGTCGCTACAGGTAGGGGGCTTCCCCCTCGGAGTCTCTCAGGCTGTTGGGAGATGCATGGCAAGTTCTAGTTAAGTGCTCAGCTCCTCTGTAATTGTCACAGCCTCATCAGGATGCATCTGGGGTGCCAGGGACTCCCCAAAGCTTGACTCTAGAAGGGTCCTGGGGCCCACCTTTAGAAACCAACTTGGTATCCTTCTACCTGCCAGCTCCTCCCCCCACCCCAGGTCCCTGAGTCACCCACAGGGCAGAAGGAATGGTGTTCCCATGGTGGGGAGTGGCCTGAGCAAAGTGTGTGTTGGGGGGTTCTGGGGAGGGCTTAGGTGTGTCAAGGCCCAAGTCGGGGTGGGTCTGGCCAGATGCAGGGCATGGAATGTGGTCTAAGTGCTGACCTCACAGGAGTGACAAGACATTTTGGGAACCCTGGTGCTGGTGCAAACAGCTCTGAATGGACAAAGGGCAGGTGGGGGTTAGACAGGTGAGCAGTTGGTGAGGGTTTGGTGCATGGGCGTGTTGGAAGCTGGGCAGGTCATGCCCGGCACGGACCCCTCACTCCCCTAGAAACCCCTCCCACCTCCCTGGTGGCCCCACAAGCCTCCCCTCCCGGCCCCAGAAGTCCCATTGAGTGCTCAATGGGGCCAGCAGCACTGCTCTAGGACTCAGGCCCTTAGCCTGTTCCTTCTGGAACTAGTCTCTCTGCCACCCTCTGGGGCACAGAGCGGTAAACAGTGTTGTGGTCCTGCTGTCTCCAGACTTTGGGTGCCAGAGTGGTCACACGTGGCCCAAGTGTGGCCAGGCTCAGCAGGTGGGACCCAGGGTGGGGTGGCAGTGGCCATGCTGGGTAGTTCAGGCGGCCCAGCACGCCCCTGCCAGGCAGGGCCCCTCCCTGCTGACTCTAGCCCTAGGCAGCAGCTAGGTTGGAGCCACTGCTCATGGGAGTGGAGGCCAGGGCAGCAGTTGCTACTGTATTTAGCGGTCAGGACCGCCTGCGCTTGGCAGCTCATGCGTGTCTCTGCACGCACGTGGCCTGGACATGCATCTGCCACGTGGGGGCACCAAACCACCTGCACATACGTGTTTGTGTGTCTCGGGTGTGTTTCTGTGTATGAAGGTGCAGCCCCAGAGTTCTAGACACCACGTTGGAAATGAAGCAATTTTAATTGAGCACCGAGCACCTGCCCTGGCCCGGGGTCTCCAAGCACCAACAGTGTGAGGACTGCACCCCCTGCCCTAGTACCTCCCAACCCCAGACCCAGACCCCCACTCACACCGAAACCAGCCCTGCAGGGCTTGTCTCAATAAATAACCCCAAGAACAGAGCTTAGGGCAGGGGCACCAGTAAAGCCCCAACACAGCACCAAGCCCAACAGCAGGCAGGAGGAACTTCTTGTCCAGACGGGAAATCCCAAGGCCTTCCTCTGAACAACAGGGTCAGAATATCTGAAATCTTGGTCAGAATCAACATTGAAATTGGAGACAGCTTAGCCAGGAGCCGCCACTTCCAGACAGCTCTGGGGTGGGGGTCTGCAGTTAAGGCAAACTCCAATCTCACCCTCCTGCCTTCCTGGCTCATGGACGCGCCTCAGTTCTTTCCTCAACTCCGAATTCCAACTCCGAATTCCGGGCAGGAGAGAAGGGGAGGGGAAGGGGCCTGGGCAGAAACCTGGGGGACCAGGGAGTCTGAGGGGAAGGAGGGACTTCCTGGGAAAGGAGGAGTCAAGGGAGGCTGGAGGGGGCCGCGGGCGCAGGTCACTGCTGGGTTCTTCCCCGGCGGGTGCGGAGGGGGCCGGTGGCACGAGCCTGGCCTCGGGCCACCTCACCCATCTCCTGGCGGATGTCAGCCAGTGCCACGGCTGGAGACTCTAGCAGCCGCTGGAAGAGGCTGGGCCGGCCAGTGGGTGGTTCATGACACTGGAAGGTGACGGCAGTGCCGGCGTCGGCCTTCATCTCCCGTGAGAAGCCGTCAGAGGAGCCATCAAAGCAGCGGCCGATGGCAATCTCCTTGGCCAGTCGTGGGCTCTGGTCAGTGACCGTGTAGACACCGTAGTTGTGGCCCAGGGGGTCCAGCGGGGCCAGCATGGTAAAGGCAGTGGGGTCATCTGCTGGTGCAGGCGGCGGGTGCCTGGCCAGGTAGTCTTCCAGCAGCGTGTTGATGGCTGTGCGGCGGCAGCTACCCTGCGGTGTGATGGTCACCAGCGTCCTGTCCGCCTGCTGCTGGTCGAACAACATTCCACTGCACTTGAATTCCACACAGGCGGCAGATGTGCCAGCTCGCTGGGGGTCACGGACACTGCGGGCATCCCGCAGCCCATAGAGCTGGCCCTGTGTGCGTGGATGGCTGCCCCCAGCACTGTGGGCACGTACCATGTACTCCTGGGGGCCCTGGATGCGCACCTTGAGGAAGCAGGCCCGGAATTCCTGTGGGTTGGGCCACCAGGACAGGAAGTCGCCGGTCCAGGAGGCAGGCACACCCTCACGAAAGGGCACCACGTTGTACTCATACCTGTCGGCCTCCACACGAGCGAAGCGGAAGTGGCTGTCAGTCACAGGGGCCTCCTGACATTCACGCAGGCTGCGCCACGGGTACACGGGCCCACGGGCCTCAGTGGGGTTGCCAGCCCTGGGCTTGGCCAGGTTGATGCGGAAGCCGTTTCGCTTGAGGGCAGGGTCCTCGTGGTCTGTGCGCCTATAGCCCAGCCTGTCCAGGTAGGGCTGGGTGACACCCACATCGGCCGGGAGTGGGCGGGGCCGGGAGGGCGCTGGCTCCAGCTCCTCACCCCCCAGGGTGGCAGTGACAAGGGCAGTATAGGCATCAGGCTGGTCTTCGTCACAGAAGGCAGGGAGGCAGGCACCATTGGGACCGGTGACGGCACTATCAAAGCGGCCCCAGGCACGGGGATTGGCAGAGAAGCCAGGCGCAGGTTCCAGGTTGACCAGCGTGACGACAGCACCCTCCACCTGCTCGCTGGGTGTGAACTTGTCATTGGCGTAGACACGCACCTTCACAAAGCAGCGGCGGCGCTCGGGCACGTCAAGGTTGAACAGGCGCCGCTCCCGAATCTCCACGTTACCCACCAGGAAGACCCGCTCCTCTCGGCGGACCCGGGGACCAGTGGGTGCCTCGGGCCAGAACCTGCTCTCCTCCTCCCACAGGCCCGTGCCGGGGTCCAGTGACCACAGCCTGAGTGCCTCTGCGTGGCCAGGCATCTGGATTTGCCCGGCAGCCACACGCACAGTCAGAGGCCCTGCCTGTAGCTGCTCCCCAGAGCTGGCAGCACGAAGGTCCACGGAGAACATGCCATATGTGCGCAGCAACGCCAGCTCCCCATCTTGGTCCAGAAAGCGCAGGTCACTGGGAGCAGCAGCAGCAGAGGCCAGATTGCGGGGATCCACGAAGGTTACCCGGGCTTCCACGGCACCCTCATAGGGCCGGCCATCGGCAAAGCGGAATGACCCCGGAGGCAGGACCAGCTCACCCACGGGGGCCTCATCCCCCAGCTCACCAAGTGGGATTCTGTTGCTCTGAGTAGTGTCCAAGACGACTGGGACTTGCTTCCGAATGGCCTTGACCTCATGGTACACACCAGTGCCCCGTGGGTCAAAGGGCAGAACCCTGATGGCATCCACGAACTCACCGCTGGGATCCAGGAAGGTCAGCACCAGGCGATCCAGGGATGGTGGCACCTCGATGGTGAAGTCACCCTGGTAGGAGGTGAAGCCGATAGGCTCACGGCCCAGCAGGATGCGGGCAAAGCGAAGGGGCTCCCCCGAGTCGGCAGCGACCACGCGGCCTCGGACCAGGCCACGCAGAGGCAGGCACTTTTGGCAGCCACACTCGGCCACCACCTTCACTGGGAGGACATAGCCAGAGCAGTGGACCTCCTGGCTCTGCAAATGCCGCACAGAGCAGCAGCGGGTGCTAGTGTCCTCACACCGGGGGCTGGAGCTCACGGGGCCGGGGCAGTGCACATCGGGGCACCGGCCCACGTCCAGGTAAGCAGGGCTGCCGTCTGGCTGACCACAGTCATCTGGGAGCTTGATCAGGTGCTCTAGGGGCTGGGGGTCGCAGGCTGACTGGCCTGGGGCTAAGGGCAAGAGAAGACAAGGACTTTGTCTGGCATCAACTCATGACTCAGGGGTCAAGGTCAGCCCAGGGTTAGAATAGCACCCAGGTAAGGACTAGGATCAGGGACTTAGCCCAGGGTTGGTGCTCAGAGGGGCCTAGGATCAGGACTCAGGAAGCCCAAAGCTCAGTCTAGGGTCGGAGTCAGCCTGGGGTTGGGGTGCTCACCCAACACCGTGAGCCAGGCGGCAGCTGAACGGACGGTGCCTGCATCATTCCAGGCCTTGCAGTGGTAGGTACCCGCTTGGTCTGGATGCAGGCCCCGCAGCTCCAGTTGGGCCCCATACCTGAGCTCTCTCCTGTCCAGCAGGGTCCCGTTGTGGAACCTGGGTGGCAGGTGGGCAACAGGTGAGGTCCTGGTGCAGAGGAGAGGCTGTATCCACCCCCACCCCAAAGGCCAGGGTTTCCACAGTGGTCTCCCCAGGGCCACTGGGAGAGCAGGAGTGAGGTCAGTGTCTTCACACAAAAAAGGGGCTTGGCCTCCATTCTCACCACCTGGCAAAACCTCCCACTTTCCAGATGGGAATCCACATCTGCAGCCACTTCTGGAAGGTCTCTGAGGACCAAGTGTCACAGGGAGTCTAAGCCAATCCCAAGGCCACACAAAGACCCTCGGCCATAGGGTGGGCCTCACCAGAAGTATTTCTTGGGTGTGGGGGTGCCTGCAGCTTTGCAGCAGAAGGTCACATTCTGGCCTGCTTCTCGTACTCGGGACTCGGGGTGCTTCATCAGATAGGGCTTCTCTGAGGGGGTAGGATGCAGAGGTCAGGACTCTGTCCTCCTAGGCCCCCTGTCCTCAACCCCATCCTCCTCTCACCTTTCCCAGTGACTAAGTGACATCTGATCCCCTCCCCAGGGACTTCACTGGCAGCTCTCCCTCAAGTGCTGTGTCACCTCAGATTTCCTCCTCACTCCCTCAGCACTGCCCACCACCCCTTATCCCGAAGTACTTACCCAACTATTTTTTTTTAATTTTTATATATTTTTTTTATTACTATGATTTGGGTGAAAGTTTATAGAGCAAATTCACTTTCCATACATTTCACATACACTTTGTCTCATGACAGTGACTACAATTTACCCCAATGCAACAGCTTCCCTCCCACCTCCTTCCTATAGTCACCTCTTCCCTGTGTCCATCCCTCCATGCACTCCTGCCCCCAGAGCTGTCTCCCTGTGCATAAGCAGCCCTTCTTTCTCCTATGATGTTCTCTCCAAGGAGTGTATCTACCTTAAGTGAATGTTCAACTCATATGCCTATCTTTTGTTTGGCTGAAAGCCACAGGTGTGGGTTCAATTCCAGACCTGAAGGGCAGCTAGGGGCCATAGTCTCAGTGGTTCCACCAGGCTCTATCAGACCAGCAAACCTGGTTCCCACCTTTTTTTTCTCTCCAAATGATTTTGAGTTTTGTTCCACATTGTTCTCCCTCTCTATCCAGGATCTCTTACATAGATCTCCCTCTGAGTGGTTGACAGTGGTAGCCACAAAGTACTTACCCAACTTCTTAAGGACAAGAGTGACCACAGCTGAGTTGGAGCCATTGGCCTGGGCCTGGGCCATGCCTGCAGAGAATCCATCTACCTGGGCACTAATGTTGGCCTGGCTGCTGGCACAGATGCCGGGCACCCGGAAGGTTCCGTGGGCATCACTGGTAGCCACAGTGCCTGGTTGGCCTCTCAGGAAGACCCTGGCTCCCGGTAGTGGTCGCCCAGATGGGGTGACCACAGTGCCCAGGAGGACGTGGTCAGGGCACCCACAGGTGTCAGGGTTGCACCCTGGGGGAACACAAGGAACAGCAGGGCAGAGGGGCCCAGGGATGAGATTGTCCCCTCAGTCAGTCACTCATGAAACATGCCCAGATACCCCTTGTGTCCTTTCAAAGCAGCTCCTAGTGTGAGTGGGTGACAGTCTGAGTGGTCAGGGATTGGTTATTGGAGGGACCTGAGGTCCAGAGAGAGCTTAAGAGAGGAAGGACCTAGAAGGGTGAAGAAGCCCCCTCCATTGTGTTAAAAATCATCCAGGCAGGGGCTGGGGGCCCAGCTAGGGGCCCAGTCTTGGCCTTAGAACATCTCTCCCCTCTCAATCCCGCGGTTTCTCCATAAAATGGAAAATTCCACTGGAAACTTCAGGGCAGAGGCACCAAGAGGGCAGAGCCAGGCAGGGATGGGGTGGGGACCCCACCACACCATTGGCCACTGGGCTCTCCCACCCCAACACGGCACCACAGGCCCAGAGCCACCAGACCATGTTTATGGAGCACAGGCCGGGCGGAATTTCCACTCGTCTCCCCGCCAGCCGGTGCCTGCCAGGGTGTGAGCGTGTGTCTGCGTGGGCGTGGGGCCCAGCAGGACTGCACACGCTACGAGTGCGTGCACCCAGAGAGTGTGGACCCAACTCCTGGGTATGTGTCCAGGCAGAAACCCCCATGAAACATCGCATGCCCGGTCGTGCACAGGGAGAAATGTGCCCTCCAATATGCCCGTGCCTGCACACCACCCCAGCTCCCAAAATGTTACAACCCACCGCGTAAATGTGCACATGGCCCAGTGCTCCTGAGGACCAGGGGGGAAGGAGGGGCCGGTCTCTGAGGGTCTCCAGTGCTCGGGTCCTCAAGGCTCCGCCCCTTCGAAGCCCCACACCCAACTCCCCAGCCCTCTCAACTCCGCCCCTAACCCGGTCCGCCCCACCCCCAACAGGCCCCACTCCTCCTATTCAGGCTCCTCTCCCAACCCTCCCCTCGGTGTCGGGTAACCCTATTCCCCTCTCCAGACCCCACCTCTCTCCAAGGCCCCGCCCCTCCTACCTGGGCACCGAGGCCGCACGCACTTCTGCGCCTCCAGCGGACGCCCGGGACACGTGTCCTCAGCCGGGCAGCTGCGACGACGCGAGCGACGACCTGGCCCACAGCTCCCGGAGCAGGGACCCCAGGGGCCCCACGCGCCCCACACTGCCTCTGCAGGGAGGAAGTGGAGGTGATTCAGGCGGCCACCAGCCCGCAGACTGCGGTTCCTGGAACCCGGTACAAAGCCCGGACAGGAGGACCTGCGCCCCGCCCCCTTCAGTGCACCCGCAGATGCCCAAGTCGAAGGTGCGCTGCAGGGACTGCCCTGCCTGCCTGACCCCAGATCAGCTCTCCGAGGTTGGGCTTGCTGTGCCCCCCACGACCCGCACATATGGGGTTCAACAAACGCCCCCACAGGCCCGAGCGGGTAACGAGGGGCCAGTGAGGGCGGCGGGAGGCAGCAGCGCTCCAGGTGGGACCCAAGGGGTCCAGCCTACCCCGCCCCTTCCGGTCGCCCACCCGGCCCGGCTCTTCCCACTCGACCCTCTCAGGCTCCGTCCTCTCCCAAGCCACACACACCCAAATCAGGTTCTGCCCTGTCAACCACACCCACCCTGGTCCCGCCCTCACCAAGGGGGCAGCGGAAGCGCACGTGGTAGTTGGAGCAGCGGCGGCCGCGCGGTTGCTCCCGGTTGAGGCACCAGAAGCCGCGCGTGGGGTTCAAGTGCACACGCTCGCCGACAGTGGCGGGCAGTGCCCAGTCTGTGGTGCGCGCCTCCAGCGCCAGCGGCTGCGAGCACACGCGCGTTGGCCCGTAGTAGAATCGGATAGCCGCCAGGCTCTCGAAGTCGCCGTCACCACCCGGGTGGTCTACGTTGAACCATGACGTCCACTCGCTGGCCTCTGCAGGCAGAGCACGCGCTGGGACTAGGGTCCGACCTAGCAGACCCTAGATCGGGTGGCACTCCACCTGCTCACCCCCATCTGTGTGACAAGCCCTTACCTGCTGTCTGATCCCCCACCCTTAGCACCGGCTTGCCCAGCCCACCCAAGACCTTTACCAGAACACAGAGCCCTCAGGGCAGAAGTAACTGTAATGGCCTCTTGCTACAGTAGCTGTTTCTACTGGGATGTTGGCTGACCTACCACACCCCTCAGCCTGCTCCCACCCTCAGGAGAGTCTCTAGGGTGTGAGGACCTATAAAGGCAGTAGGGGAGAGGAGTCAGAGACCAGCCATGGCTCCCCATGAATGCTGGACCTTGCTCACTGCCCAGCTGCACCCACCCAGGCAGCAAGCTCCCTTTTCAAGGAGCCTGGGATGCTCGGGGGCAGGAGGGGCTGCTTGCTTCCGGGTCAGCCCCAGTTTCTGCTTCATCACCCCCCATGGATTGCTCACCCCTTTCCCTGCCTCAAGATCAGTCAGTAGACCAGGGATCCAGGTCCCAGAACACCACCTCCCATCACAACCTGAGTAAGTTGTTACCACACCCCCCATCCCTCCATCCCACCCTGCCCCCAATTTCCTTCTTGACAAACAGCCTTACTTAGTCGTCTTGGGGCACCACTTACAGCGTCTACAACATCCAGGGGTCAAGAATGGCTCCAGGCCCTTCACCACATTGTGTCCCTTCCTAAAAAGATGACCCTCTCCCCCAAGCTCACCTAACAGAGCCAGACTCACCCTGGTGACTCACCTTCCCAGTTCTCCAGGGCTGGGGAGGGCTGGCCAGGGGGTGGTGACCATCTGTGGAGCCCCCATGCAGTCCCCGTGGGCCCCTCAGTGAGGAAGGCACCTGTAGGAGGACAGCAATGGGAGGGAGGAAAGGAGGGAGGGAGGCAGCACCTCTCAGGCAGGGCACTGTTGGGATCATTCCCATTTTACAACAGAGAAAGCCATGGCTCTGAGAAGCCAGAACCCACTGGCTGGCCCCAGGGGACTACTGCACTCACTTCTCCAAGGAGCCTTCTTGTCACTCCTCTCAGCCCCTTCCCTCCCTCTGACCCAGCCCTGAACCCGTGGACTGGGGGCAACTATCTGACTCTGGCCCCAGAGAGTTTCTGCCCTTGGTAGTTGGACCTCTTTGAGTTCAGTCTGGCAGTCTCCACTCACAAGCTGGACCGCATGGACCCTTTTTCTGTTTGGCCGGCAGAAGTCCCTCCTGCGTCTACCCTTCACACCCACCATCGCTCCACTTGAGGCCCCAGCTGGCCGCAGAAAATCCTTCCTCAAGTTTAGCCTGGCCACCCCGAGCTCAAGCTACCCAGGATGGCCCTGGGGCAGGGACCTTGATGCAGTGACCTCAGACAAGTCCCTTCTTCTCGAAACCTCGGTCTCCCAGTCTGAGAAGTGGGCCGTCCCCCACCCCAATGAACACCCAGGAGAAGGGTGCAGGAACGGGGAGTGGATTTTGTGGGAGGGGGCGGCTCTGGACCCTTCTTTCCAGGGCCTGGGACCCGGGGGAATCAGGGCTCAAATGCTGGGGCTGCGCTGTCCCAGGAATCGGGAGGACCGTTCCCTCTCTTCGCGGAGGGCTGGGAGAGGACGAAGCCCTGGTCCACAACGGTCGGTGCCCACCACGGTCGGTCCCCCGACTCTGTAGCCCCGTCGCTTCCGGCCCAGGGGTGGGAAGCACGGGAACCTCGCTCCGGGGGTGGGGTGCACTCAGGCCCGGCCGCCAGGCATTCCGCGCCTGGGAGGCTGGGCTGGGGGCGCCTCACCTCGGGCCCCTGCCAGGTGCACCGCGGCGACGCAGAGGCAGAGCAGTGGCGGGAGTGGCGCCATGGCCGGGTCGCAGCGTCTGAGGAAGTATCCCGGCTCCGCGGCGCGCTAGGTCCAGTCCCCCAGGGTCTGGGGCTGCTCCGGGCTGATGGGGGCGGGACGCGACCGCAGGCCCCGCCCCGCCCAGGCCCCGCCCCTGACTTTGGGTGATTTCGGCCGCGCGCCTAACCTCTCTGGGTAGCCCCCCTCGGTGCCTGCGGCTGTGCCACCGCCCCCAGGCTGGACTGCAGCTCCCTTTCACCCATTTGGCCAAGGGAAAGTCCCTGCCGGAGTCCACCCTCCATTCCTCCACTTGGGACCCTAAGCTGCAGGCGCGAAGTCTTTTTTGGAACTAGCCTGGCTGCTCCGGCTCCAGTTGCCCAAATCTTCCCACTTTAGACAGTTTTTTAGACTGGCTGAAAGTCCCCCATCGAGTCTATCTCCATCGATGTTACGCCACCCCAAGCAGTCTGGAAGTCCCACCCTGAGTCTACCTTCCATTCTTCTGGCTAGTTTTCTAGGAGACCAGCAGGAAGTCCTTCCCCAAGCTGACACCACCTTCACCTACCTACGGCTGCGGAGGTGGGGGCAGGGCGGGGGGTAGTGACTGCAGGCGGCCCCTCCTCTACCTGGGACCGCAGGGGACCAGTGGGAAGTCCCTCCCCGAGTTTGCCCCCTCCCCCCCTGCAGCGCACTGGGCGCACAAAAGAGGAGGAGTCGAGGTGGCGGGGTATCTGTTTATTGGCGGGGGTCCAAGCCACGGGGCGGGTGCCGGTCACAGCGCCACGACACAGTCGGTGCCCGTGTACCCTGGCAGGCGCAGAGCGAACTTGCGGCGCACGTCGTCGGGCACGAACCGGCCGGCCACGAAGTGATGGCGCCCGGAGAAGCGGCCGGCGCAACGCTTGGGCGCCGCGAGCGACACCAGCACGTCGGGCCGCAGCCCGTCCTCAGCGTCGCTGCCCGTCTCTGCGTCCCAGCCTGAGGGATGGGGGGAGTCGGGAACTGGCAGGGTCGGCTTCCTGCTCTCCGGTGCCAGACAGGGGGCCTCCCCACCCCCACAGGGAGCGCTGCCCTCAGACAAGGGCTCCAAGTCCCGCTCCCGTCCGACCTGCCGCACGCCCCCTCTTCCCCGCCCCTACCCCCGCTCCCGCTCTTTCCCATTTCCCTCCCCATCTGATCCAGTCTCTGCCCACAGACCACATCATTTTTACCTCTGCTATTTCCAGGTCACACAGGTCCCTCTGGCTCTGACCTGGCCTGTGTCACCAAACTTCCCTCTCCATTGGCCCTGAGCCCCTTCCCCACCCAGATTTCTCAGGCACACTCCATTTCCCCCCCACCCCCTGCTCTGACCAGCCCCCACAGCCCACCTGAAGGACAGACCTCCATCCTCTGTCCAGTCTCCCCTATCAGACCTGTCTTCTTGCCCCAAGTTCTTCACCGGACATGCCCCCCTCCCCTATCCCACTGAAGCCCCCCTTCCCCCTCTGAATAAAGACTCCTCCTCCTAACCTGAGCGCCTTGCCTAAGCCCTCAAACTAGCTCCTGCTTCCCCGGGGCTTGGCAGGACCTGCCGTCCTTTTTCAAGAATCCCAGCCTCGGCCCCCTCTGCGGAAGTCTCCACCATCCTTCTGGGCCCTGTCTTCTCTCCTGACCCTGTCCTGGGCCTGGACCTCTAACTAGAAGCCCCTGGCTCCTCCCCCTGACTTTAATTCTCCCTTTCTTGACCCTAGTCTTCACCCGCAGACCAGAAAGCCCACACCTCACCCTCAAACGCGGGTTGCCACCTCCCCCAGCAGCCTTCTGCTCTGTGGCACCCTGATGGGATGGCCCTAGGGTCCCTTGAGCTGGGTGCTATCCCCCAATTCCAGCCACCCCCGCAGAGGGTCCGGCTGGCTGGTAGCTGTTTGTTCCGTCTGCCAGTCACCTAATGGCTCCAGCAGGCATGGGGCGGCGGCCAGGGCGGGCGCGGCGTTTGCTGAGTGAGCTCACGTCTGCCTGGGCGACTGGGCTGGGGTGGGCACTGGGCATGCAGGGCCGCGTGGGGGGGGGGGCAGCCCAGGTCACTGGGGTGTCGGCCTTGGTCTTCCCCATCCACAAGATGAGTGTGACCCTCCGGCCTCAGCTAGTGCATTTTCCATCCATGCTGGGGAAACCAAGGCTCAGAGTGGGTGTCACCAGGAGACAAGGTGTGAGGGCCCCCACCCATGCTCCCCAGGCCCAAAGTGCCCCCCCATCCAGCCCATCCTGCGTGCCTGAAGGGATGTCCAAGCTCACGAGGGGAATGGACAACAGCTTGAGTGTAGCCAGTGCTCGGGTACAGGGGCCCCCGACCTTGCCCGGCTCTGCGCCGGGGCCCAGGACAGCGTCCACCACCAGTCTATACGCATCATTGATGAGCTGGACCTGGAAGGGCAGGCATGGTCAGGGGGCAACCCCCAGGCACAGTCTCCACCTCTGTCCCCAGTCACCCCCCCAGTCGCCCACTCAGGGCTGACCTCCACAGGCAGGTATGACAGGAAGGGGATGTCCATCTTCTCGCACTGGGTGGTCAGGTCCCGGTGCAGGGGGTCCATGGAGCGTGTGGGGTAGAAGATGGTCGGCTCATACTCCTGAGTGGGCAAGAGGAGGTCAGTGTCGGACCTCTTAGACCCTAAACTTATGCACCTGGAAGCAGACCCCACCCATGGCAAATGGTGGGCACATTCTGGAACCTGTCCAAGCCTCCACATCCCCATTTTGGACACTATCAACAGGAGGAAGCAATTTCTGCAAGGACCAGGTGGGGGTGACGCTGAGGGTCCTGGCTACTCACAAAAACCCGCAGGTGCCGGGCACAGACCAGCCCCACCGCCCCATTCTGCTCTGGGCCGCACACGACCAGCACCGTCCTCTGCTTCCGGGAGAGAGCCGCCAAGGGGAAGACCTGGGGAGGGGGCAAGCAGAGGCAAAGACCCAGTGCTCGAAACACTCCTTGCTTGGGATGGGGAAACTGAGGCCCAGGACAGGGTGGCGGGGAGACAAGGTGCTTGGGCCTGAAGGCAGTAGGATAGGATAGAAGGGAGGCATTCTGGGAAAGGTCTCAGTTTCTCTGTGGAAGACGCAGAACCCTTGTCTCAGGCTCTGCCAAGTCCAAGTAGGAAAACATGCCTCCTGCCTTCCGCCCAGTCCAGGAGTGTGGTTTGTTTATCCTCTGCCTGGGTTGCAGACTTTCTTCCACCACAATGACTCCCCCTCTTCACCACTATTTCCAGGCCTTGCCCCTCCCACAGGTCGTGAAGTCGGGGCAGTGGGGGGGGGTGCTTTCCAGCCTGGCAATGCTCTGGCTCCTCTCTCCGCGTCTCTCTCTGACTTTGTGGGTGCATCTCTGTACTGCAGAAATTAAAGGCACTGGTGTTCCAGGTGCCCCGGCCCTGCTCCGACTATGCAGCCTTGGGCCCCTCTTCCCTCCTAGCCTTGGTTTTTCTTCTAACAGATGGAATAACAAGAGCCTGGCAAGCACATGGGGCAGACAGACGTGGGCATCCCATCTCCCCAGTCCTGGGTGGTTCTATGGGGACCCAGCTGTACTCTAACCTTAAACTACACAGACGGCAACTCACTTCCCTTTTAAGTCTCCTCCCGAAGGTCTCAAAAGTCTCGGTGTGGCCCTGACTTGCCCTAACCATGCCTGTGACCCTGGCCAGGCCCCCAGCCCCAAACCGCTGACTGCATCGGGAGATGCAGAACTTTCAGTGGAAAATCTGAACAGAGCCCCAACCAGCAGGCAAGGCTGTAACACCGGGAGGTGCTTCCCAACTCAGCTATGGGCCCTATTCCACAACATTTATGTTTATTAACTGTACTGTTAATTACCCTTCTTTAGATGAGAGAAGTGAGGCACAGAATGGTGTGGCCACGTGGCAGAAAGGTCCATGGTGTGTCGTCATTGCTCCCTCTCTAGCATCACCTCAGGAGGAGCTCTGGTGGCATAATGCCTAAGGCATTTGACTGGTAACCAGAAGGCTGGCGGTTCAAACCCACCAGCCACTCCTTGGAAGGAAAGTTGGACAATCTACTTCCGTAGTGATACCGCCTTGGAAACCCAAGGAGGGGTCGCTATGAGTCAGGTTTGACTCGACAGCAGTGAGTTTGGTTTTTGGTTTCAGCATCGCCTCTCTGGCACCACCCAGGGTCAGATGCGCCTGGGTTTGAATTGCGGCTGTTTCCATATCCCTGTGACCCTTGGCAGGTCCCGCTTCGCTTGAGGCACAGGGTTGTTTAGGGGTACTCAGACTGCAAGCAGCCGCCAGCATCTTCCATGGCCACGGTGCAGTCACATCTGTGAGAGGGGTCAGTGCCTGCATCTGAGGGCCTGGGTACGGTACTATGGCCGCTCAGCCTGTGTGTCTCTAGGGGTCCCTGCCTCTGCCTGACCTTCACTGATCCCCTGGGTCTTGAGTTCCTGCCTGGACTGGAGCAGCAATGACCCTTTCTGGGCCTCAGTTTCCTCATCTGAGTGAGGGGCCTGGCAGCGCCAAGCAGAAGGATCTCTTGGGTAGATCTTTTGGACAGTCCTGGCCATAGGGGCCATGCTGCTGGGCCCCAGGCCTGGTGGGTTGGTGGTCTGGCTGGGGTCAGGATTGGGGATCGGGGTCAGGCAGGGTACCTTGGTCACAGCCACGGCACTAGCATGGCCACACAACTCCACCAGCTGCTGCCGCCCAAATCGATAATCCTCAAGCAGCTCCCGCTCCAGCGCAGCCGCCTCTGCTGTACTGGGGACAGAAATGAGCCAGAGATGTTTAGAGACACAGAGAAATGGAGAGACAAGAGACAGAGACTCAGTGTTCCACAAGTGTTTCAGGCCAGGCCTTGACTCTTCTCCTGGCCATACCACCGCCTGCCAGTACAGTCTTTGAATCAGGGGCTCTCCCTCAATTTCCCAATCAGACAGGCTGACAATTGAATGCTAGCCTGGCAAGCGGTGGGAGGTTTGTGCCAACGTCTGAGGCGCGGGTGCCCCCTGGTGGCCACATTCTCTCATGGCAGCCAATGGTTCTGTTGCCCTAAAGCGGAGGCCCCGTGCCCCCCCCCACTCCCGTCCCAGTCCCTGGGACAAGACGACCCTGAAAATGGGATGGAGTATGAAGAGTGTTGACAGACGCCATGGAGGAGCTGCAAAGAGTGGGAACTGTTGAGTAAACGCCAGGGCGCTGGAGGGCTGGGGCTAGAGGTACCCGAGGGAGTTGGGTATTGAAGGATGCAGAGGAGTTGGACAACTTGCTCAGGAAGGTGGATGTGGGACATGCAGCTATGAGATCCTATAATGCTCCCCTCTTCTGGGTAGTGATAAAATTAAAATATTTGAGGCCAGAAAGACCAGGTTCAAGTTGAAGTTCTGCTACCAAATCGCTGAGAGACTTGGAACATCTCCACATCTCTGAGTCTTGCTTCCTCCTTTGCAGGCCCCACAGAAGGAAATCCAAGGTTCCTTGTCCAGAAACGATTCAGAACGTCAAGACAACAGAACATTAAACTACGCATGAGGCCCTTCTAGGCTCAGGGGGTAAGCTGGCCTTTCCTGAGGGGGCTTCCGAGGGGCCTGGGCTTGGTGGCTGGAGACAAGAAGAGCTGGCACTGAGTGAAGACGCTGTTCACACGGATCAGGGCAGGGACAGCTGGGCAGGATCAAAGCCTGATGGCAACTTTTCTCAGGCTAGGAGCACAGAGAGCTGGAGATTTTCCTGCAGAACAGTACCCGAGCCCAGCTCAGTGGACACTGGGGTGGGGGTGGTGATGATGATAATGATAATAATGGTCAGACCCAGAAGAGTTGGGAGAACAACTGCCAGCTCAGAGCAGCCAGATGGCTTGCCCAGGGTCCCAGAGAAAGCAGGTGGGGAAGCCAGGACTTCCACCACGGTCTCTATAGCTGCAAGGAGTGAGCTTCTGGTGTCTGAGGGTTAAGAAGCCAAGCCAGGCCTACAAATGGCACAGGTTTGGCAGAATGAAGCCTGAGGTTCCTTCTTTGGAGATGACAACCTTCGGGCCAACTTTGCAGCAGGATCTGGGCCAGAACGGTGGGAGAAGTGGTGGTCAGGCACAATGTGGCAAGGAGGAGTCGGGAGGCCACCTGCAGAAGGCGGCCGGGAGCACTGTACTCAGGTGGTAAGAACAGCGAGGGCAAAGGCCTATGGTGGGAATAAGCCTGACATATTCACGGAGCAGAAAGGAGGGTAATGTGGTTGAAGCAGAATGACAAGGGGACAGGGCAGACAGGACCTCAAACTTAGGGGGTTCATACAAATGGAGGAAATAGGGCTCGAGGCAGGGAAGTCGCATGCCCTGGGTTGCTCCAGCAAGCAGAGCTGGATTTAAACCTGTTCCTGTCTGTGACTGCTGTAGGATGGGGACAAAGGACCAGGAGGGAAAAAAGAGCTCACAGTGGTGCCAGACAAAGAGTGCTGACTTGACAGGCTGGTGTAGGTGAAAGGTCAGCTCCCAGTAAAGGACTGAGAAGGTGCCTTTGAGATGAAGAATCAGGTGGGCAGAGAATATATTTCACTCCCACAGCTTCCATCTTCTGACAGCTCTAGCTGCTGCCCTCGAATGAAGGTGGGGAGAGGAAGAGGAGGGTGGAGAGGTTCATCTGTACCTCCTTTCCCCCTCCCTCCTGACCGCTTTGTTCTACAGCTTTGGTCACTGGCAGCCACTTAGAACACAATCTTCCGGCATAACTGGTCATTAGAGTGATAATGGGGACCGAGTGGGGAGAGGCAAGTCTTGGCTAGGAGCCAGGGCTGGAGGGCGGCAGTAACAGCTCCAGGACAAGAAGGAGAATTAGGGACACGGAAGGAGCAGGGACAAGGAAGGTCAGACCCATTCTGCTGTTGAATTTTGATTTTTCTTGGGGGTGGGGCTCAGTTATGAGGGTGAGAGGAGCTGTAAGGTCCTGGGATCTCCCCTCCCTCCTCAGCCTTAGAAGGGCCGAGTGAGCTGGTTCCAGAAGAAATTGAGCCTGACACCCCAGATGCTTCCAGGAGGGCCCCCAAAATAGGGACGGGCTCTCTTGGAGGCAAAGCCCTCAGGCCGTTCTGTCCATGTCAGACCCTTCCATGCACTCTGAGTCCCCACACCTCTGCCCACCAGTCCACCATCACGGCTCTGCCGGTGTCTACAGCAGTCTCCTGCTCCCCAAATGCCTTCTCAACATGAGCTGCAGGAGACTTTAAACACTTGAACACTGGATTCCATCAGCTCCTGCTCCAAGCCCTCCTAACGGCTCCCCAGTGCTCAGAGAATAAAATTCAAGCCCCTCATCATACCTACAAGTCCCCCATTATGTCACCCACCTCATCACCTCCACTTCTCCCTCGAGGTGTTCTGGCTCCCATACACTCTGTGGTGCCCTGCCAGTCCCCTCAGTTGGTTTGGAGGCCTCACACAACTAGCCCCCCTCCCCAGGCGAAGTCATTGCTCCTGGTACATTCACCTCCCCTGCCTAGTACTACCAGGGTCTCTAGCCTGAACTAGACATTGGCAAATCGTTGGATAATAAGGGCTGAGGGGACAGTGGGCAGAAGCAGTTGGACAAGGAGCCACATGTGGATTCTCATGACACAGGGATATATAGCAGGTGTTGGGGGACCTAGATTCCAGGCCAGGATCCCATAGCCTGGGGGCAAGGGCAGGGTAGCTGGGCCATCACTGCCCCTCCAAACTGTTTCTCTTCCAACAGCCAAGTCTCTGGGAAGCCTACATTTCCCCAGAGCAGCTTCACTCAAACCAGAAAAGGGTTAAACACCTGGTCACTCAGGTCTCCAGTGGGGTCCAAAGCCCAGCGTGGACCCCCTTGTTGCAATGGTTTAGATGCAGCATGAGGTGGGGACAAATTCATCAGCCCACTGGTAAGTGATCCCTTTGTCTAAACGCCGACCCAGCACTGGCTCCAGAGTGGCTTTCCTCCCCCAACTTGTTGCCCCCTCTGGACAAGGGAAGAGTAGCTCAGACCACCGAAGGTGGCAGCAGAGTCTGAGGAACTGGTCTGGAGCTCCAGAGTCCCTGGCAGGGACGGAAAGGGAGGGGGCACGGTTGGGCTGGGGGTGATGGGTAAGTCTCACGACCGATTACGCTATTTTATTCAAGAGGGGGCAGGCTTATCTTGGATAGTTTCCCTGGCAACAGCTTCTGAGGGCACTGGTAGGCCTGGTCTCTCTACCCAGGAATCATGTCTTGGGCTTCCAATCCCCTATTCCCCATTCCGGTCAATCTCCCTTCCTGGAGCCCCCTCCCTGGCTCACCTGAGGAAACGCCGCTCCTCGGGCGCCTCCAGGTCCGGGTCGACCGCGCTCATGGCCGAGTCAGTGCACCGAGCCATTTCTGCCGTCGCCGCGGCTGCCTTTTAAGCGCACCCCAGCGGCAGAGCTCCTTCTCTCCTCCCCCCCTCCCCGCCCACCCCGTGCCATCCGCCAACCAGAAGGCGCCGCGAAGGCGCTAAGCGCAGCCATTGGCCAGAGGGTGCAGGTGCTTAACCCTTTTCTGGCTTGAGCGAAGCTGCTTTGGGGAAATGTAGGCTTCCCAGAGACTGGTGGTTGTTGTTGTGTGCCGTCGAGTCGGCCCCGACTCATAGCGACCACTCCTTGGGTTTCCGAGGCAGTATCACTACGGAAGTAGGATTGCCCAACCTTCCTTCCGAGGAGTTAAGAGACTGGTAGAGAAACTGAATTTGGAGCGGCAGTGATGGCCCAGCTACCCCGCCCCTGCCCTCAGGCTACGGGATCCTGGCCTGGAATCTAGGATTCCCCAACCTCTACTATATACCCCTGTATCGTGAGAACCGAAAGCTAACTCCAGGAATCTTCCCCCCCCCCACCCCCAGGGGAGGGCGGGCAGGATCTCACGGGAGGTGGGAAGGACACTTGGACTGGGAGGTAATGGATGGAGGGAGGAAAATCCAGCAATAATTTGGAAGCTGGAGACCAGGCTGCTGGTGCAGTACATCAGCCCCAGGTGCCTGCCGCCCACAGCCCCTCCTCAGTCTGAGGCCACCCTTGCATGCACCCCCAGGTCTTGTCCCTGTGGTCCGGCCTGGTCTCCTGCCTGTAATACAGTGGTGCCTGGGTTCCGCCGCCCCTCCAGCCCCCTCTCCCTGGAATCTCCCCATCGGCCGTACAGAAACAGCAGGGGTTCAGCCCAGGTTTCCAGTGTTTATTCTCCTCCTGGGGTAGGTTGCAGCAGCTCCTACGTGTACCACATGAAGCCGTAGTTGGCGTTGACAAGCTCCTCATTTGTGCGCAGTCCATAGAGCTCACCCACCATGGGGGACACCCAGCGTGTCGTTTGGAACACAGACTCGCCCACCTGCAGGCACCAGGGTGTGGGTGGGCAGGCGGGCCAGGGGTACAGTCCCCCCTCCCACAGTTTGGGCAGGGCTGTCACCTCCCCCCCCCCCCCCCCCCCCCCCCCCCCCCCCCCCCTATGCCCTTACCCTCTTGCAGCCCTGGCCATTG